TTATTATTATTATTATTGTCGCCGTCGTCGTTGTAGCCGCCGCGTCGTTGTACTCGTTGCAGTAGCCGTCGAACAGTACCTACCGTCGGGTGTTCGTGTTCGGGGTTCGTTCGATCGTGTACCTGTCGAGTGAATTCGTTTAGGCGGTCCGATCATCGTATTTTTGCTAGAAAAATCCGTGTCCATCGTTTTGATATATATTTGCAATCAGTTGGTGTACATTAATGAACGTTCTGTGCGCTGTTCCTCGAACTAAAGTATTATACACCTCTATAAGTAACAATAAAAATAATGATAAAACATAACGTCCACAGTTCGCACTCGTCTGATGTAACGCCACAATGGGACCGACTGGACGGACGGAAAAAATCACAACAATAACAACAGTATTATATAGTACGGCCGCCGACGAAAACGTACGCGAGACCTTGACCTTGAGACTTCGGTTCAGTAGACCAGTCCCGCCGCCGCCCGGTGTGCGTGCGTAGAGGTAGTTGAGCCTCTCGTTTGACTTCACGGCGCCCAGTGCACCATCGAAAGAAGAGAAAAGGTAGGTAGGAGGGAACAAGAAGGGAGAATGACAGAGAGAGTGTGTTAGAGAAGAGTACACAACCCCGTAGAAAACAACAACCCCGGGTTGAAGGCTCAGATGATTGATCACTGAAGGCATAATAAGGATGTCTGCATGTTTAGGCTGTGTCTTTGTCACGAACGAAACGCGGCGTAGGCGAGTGGATTTTTAGGCATTATTATGGTAGGTAGTAATAATTTCCTAGCTGGGAATCGATCTTTTTTAATGATCGCGCTGTAAACACAACGATAAAGTTTAATGGTACACATCTCGAGTGTCTCGTTGCACTCGGCGTAAAACGTAAAACTGGAAAGAAAGCAGCATAAAATGAACCTTTCGATTGGTTTCTTTTTCATCCCGTATTCAATGTCTGTTTTTTTTTTTAAACACAATCTTAGACGTCGGCTGAAATACCTACTATGTAACATATTATTATTATTATTATTAGTATTATGCCATGCGCCGAAGGTGCTCGTCATCGACGACGGTATAAAAAAAAAATACCGTCCTACGATAATAATTTCGGTGTTGGCAATGATGCGACCAGTTCGTTCTTGCTCACTGCTCGCTGTACAGTTGTAGTCACTATAGTCAATATACTCAGTGTGCAACGCGTCGTCGTACCGATGTGGCGATGTAATTTCGACAAGTGTTATATAAACTATTTATCGTCATTCGTTGACGTCGTCGTTCTTGTTATTTATTCTTCACTTGAGTTATTGGACGCACTTATTGAATACMCCAGTCGACAGTTGAAAATAATCGTGAAAACGTCTAGCGACGTTTGCTATTATGGGTCGTTAATTGTTTTTAAAGCGACAAACCGCTCTGCGTAAATAGTCGTGAGCGTAATTTACCGAAAGTAGTAAATATTTTTATTTTTACAGTGCAGTTCGATGATCCAATTCCATCCCACGTACRACAAAATGATTAATTTTTGTTATAGTTCAAGTACTTATGATTTTAATTTTTATGGTGAACATKGATTTCCTCAATTATCCACTTAAAACCAAAGACAACATTTGAATTCGATTGCCCAATCATCATTAAAACATTAATACCAACTGATATTAGCCATAATATTATCATAAAATAAGTACAGCACAGTGATGCTTTTTACATGTCAGTCAAATTCGCCAATAGAAAGACAATGTGTACCTCAAGTATAACCACAGTCCACAATATGACACTATAGAACTATCAAAACTTGGGAAGCTTTTAATACTTTAAAACTACTCTCTTCMTAGAACAAGACTTTGCACTTGATACTATTTTTTGAATCTTGCTTTTTCAAAATGTAGGTAGGTACCTGCCATTTTATTTTATCGTTTATTTTCTAGGTCAGTTTTACAACCAGCACTGTTATTAAAAAATTGTTCATCACACTAATAAAAATATCATGTTAATTTGGTATCGGTCCTTTGTCAAACACATTCATTAACAAAATAAATCAAATTGACTTAGTTAATACATACAATTTCATACTGACATAATTTTAATTGAAACATTAATGTAAGCTAACAAAATAAATTGCATGTTATTTTAGTTTGCATTAATTTATATTAATTTTACAAACCTATATTCATTAGTTATAAAGTATTAAAGAATGTTGAATTAAATATTTTCATTTAAATGGTGATTAGTGATTCCTATACAATTGGATAAATTATATTAATTGGCCTCTCTCATGACTCACTTTGGCTTTAGGTATAAAAAACATACTTCAAATGTAAAGGCATAAAGCATATAATAATAAGTAGACTTATAAATTTTGAAAGGAAAGTCACCAACAATTTAGGAGTGTTCTCGAATTCCTACTTAAGTCTCTATCTATTCAAACTGTTAGAAGTCCAGGTATAAAACCTCTTTTTTTCTTTCACATACCTATTTGTTCATAACAATTTTAAGTAAAAAGTATGTAAAAACAAATTTACTACTGTGAAAAATGATTCTACTTTCACATATTATGCCTGGTCAGTAAAAAAATATTGTAATACATAGCCTGATATAAAAATAAATAGGTTTTAAAGTTGTTGTAGTTTTGTATATTACATTAAAATGACAAATAAAAATTAATTTATATTAAATATAATGTTAAAAAATTTCTTGTTAAGCGCCCCCTCTGAATTTGAAGACTTAAAAAAAAGACGCATAATATAATCTTTCATTATATAAGAAATAAGACTATCCCTCCCCCTACTTTAACCTCTCAGAATAGGTGTTTAGATAACATTTTTAAGCAACTGTCAGAAAATCACAATTTTAAATATCAAATTTTATGTTGCGATTTCTTGATTAATTGAAATATTTTACACACAAATACACAATTATTGGAACACATTAATCCACAAGTAAAAAAAAAATAACTTGAAGCTATTTGCTCAGAGTATAAATAATTTTGTGTTTTTATACCTTAAAATCGGCTTGAATATTAATAAATTTATCTACTCTTAAAACTATGTTTATACAAGAATTTTATTTCAATAAACATTAAATTAAAGTTAAGAATCAATATATTTTGACTGTTTTTTTATAATATACTATAAATGATATTGTATAATATTACAAACTAAAATATATTTTATTAGTTAGATTACAAAGTGTCTTAATGATTGTTATTCTAATTTTTTAAATAATAAAGCAGACTTCAGCCATGCATATAAAAATTATTAAAAGCTAAAAAATAACAAAATGAGAATTTATAACTTCATTAATTTATTATAAATATTGAAATCAATAATAAAATAAATATGTATTAAATTATGAAATGATTTGTAGTATATTATAGTAGTCTTTTTAAGATTTCATGAAGTATTAAATTAACAAATAAAAGTATTTTTTTTTTTTTGTAAAAATATTATACATATTTTGTAAATGCTAATAACAATTTTTGAGATTTTTGAAGTTTACATACTAGATTGCATAAATGTTTACAAAAGATTAACTGTCTGTGTTAATGATTTTTGATTTGTAAAATAAGCATTTTGGTCAGAATTCAAGTTTAAAATTTAAATGAATACATTTAAAAAGAATTTCTATATTTATTTTGACAAACATATTACTAATAATTTTTAGTTTTAAAATTCATTCTTTATTTAAAATTTTTTATAAATTACAAGGTTTTTACATAATGAAATAATTTGATTTAAATAACTAATTTTAAGAGTGTGAATTATCACCAATCTACTGGTTCCAATTTTATGAACTTTGATAAAATATAAACAACTATTAATGTGAATGTCACAAAACATATTACAAATAAATACCACGATTCTTCATCAAAAACCTCTGAAAAAGCTGGCAATTGATTATAGAATSCATTGATAATCGTTGTAGTATAATGTTCTTTTTTGGCCATTTTTACCGTTTTCCTCCTTTTTTCTTATCAGTCTTTGTCACTAGAGTTTCAGTCAGTTCTTCTTTGGGTGCTAAAGGAGTTATATGTTTGTTAAACTGTTGAAATATTTCCAAGACAGTCAAGTTTTCACATTTAAATAACACTGATTCACCATTCACTAAAATTAAAATTTTTAATCAACATAGTTTAATTATGTACATTATATTATATAAAATAAAATATTTCACCTAAAGATACATCAACTGTTGATTCACTTCTATCGTTAACAACTTCGTTTCTTACCAAACAAAGAGGATTTGTTTTTAATACTTTGGGTGATAGTAAATAGTACATGAAATTTCTGAAAAATAAAAATAAATTGTATTATTATGTATATAGAAATAAAAGTTTTTGCAGATTGCATTTACATAATTTTTTGTTTTGTTTTAGGAATAACATTTAATTAAATCATGGAGGTAAACGCTAATTTTGTTGTACCTCAGGAACAGGTTAATTTCAAACCAGTTTATGAAAACATTAATGGGCATTTCAATGGATGTAAGTACTTGCAACTTTATATGAATTCTTTTAATAATTACAGATTTTTCAACTTTATAATGGGAATTGCAATATAAATTTTTAAGCCGTTACTACTTTACAGTAACTAAATTGTTACATTGTATTATCTATTATGTTTGAAAACTCTAAGGTTATTCTATTGGTATAGAACACAACTAACTATTAACTTTTAAGTTTATTAACATAATAGGTATATAGATACACTGATTTTTTAATAAAACACTGTTAGAATGTTAGAAAATTATTTGGATCACATATTTATAACAAACAGGAACTTTTTTAAATTGTTGTTAGATCAACTTGAATGACGGTCATTTTCTCCCATATTCAAAATGTATTTAAAATAAGAATTATAATAATCACAATATATTTTGCAAAAACCCAGTGCAATTATTACAGTGTTGTATAGTCTGTATTATTATATATAGGTACCATCATTTGCTTAGACTTATAAGATATCATACTAACAACGTTTACTAGTCATGTAGGTACTTGAGTAAAGGTTTTTATATCCAAAACTTACATTAATTGTTTAGACTATTAAGATAACATTCTTACATGTAACATAATACATTATATCAATTTTGTGTGAAAATCATTAATTAAAATATAAATTGCATATATTTAATTTTATTATACTAATTATGTAGGTATATTGAAATAAATATATAGTGGGAAAATGATCTACTATGCCATAAATAGCTGGGGGGAAATTGTCCACTTACTGATTAACTTGTGTCTTAAACTAAATCTTGTCATAAATTAATAATATACTATATTATTATTATTATTATTATACATTTTTTTATTGTACTGTCAAATCGAGGCATAAACTCGAACGCGCATATCACTAGTATTATCATGACATAACAATATAACATATGATTATATTCGTCGAGACCGAAAACGGCGTTTAAACATGGCGATAAACACGGTTTTGCAAATTACAACAGTAGAAGGTTGAAAACAATTTACCTGGCCGTAGCAGCATTTTGGCTAAAAGGATCGAACTTGACAGACACTTTTTTTACGGGCTTGAGGTTTAACAGCAACGTCTGTTTTCTAATTGCACTCACTAAGCCCGCCGACTTTGATTTCGATCCGGAAAATGGCAGAGACATAGTTGCTATGGCCAGCGATGAGTAGCAGCCGTACGTGTTTTTTTGGAACAATAATCGATAAAATCCCTGAGGGAGCGGCTGCACAGCCCGCACTCTACGTCTCTAAAGTTCACACTTTAGTAGTTTAGTCTGCTATCTAGTATCTACTATCTACTATCTAATTAATTCTAGTATCAACTGTGGCGGCGACGGCTCGGTGCTCCCAGCCGCGGTAACGCCGAGTACGCTGACAAATGACGTCACAAATCACAATTATAAGCATACGGTTATAGCATTGATTATAGAATTCTATTCTATAATCAATGGTTATAGGTTAGGTTATAAGCATACCAAGAATTGAGGTTATGATTTCTATCTTGCCTATATACCACGGTAGTGGTGACCACTCGAGCGTCGGCCATTATAATACAATACGCTGAGTAAGTTAATGACGATCGAGCCGTAGCAGCAAACTGTAAAACGAAATCCAGTTGGGCAACACTGGTCGTAGGGCTTGGGTCGTCTACGTTTGTTTCGTAGCGCAGTCCGTCGCGGTTTTTTTAATTTATTTTTTCTCGTGCTATCATTATCTTCCTTTCAGCATCAGCCTTTTTTCATTAGCGTAGTGTTTTCATTATCTGATCGTTACCATTTTCCGTCTTTCGTAATTTATCTAAATAATAATGCGCTTGTTCAGTTGATCCTCGCTGCTAACGATGTCTGACGCGAACGCTTAAGCGTGTAAGCTCGCCGCCGCTGTCATAACCGGAACACAAGCTATGTTTCCCGTCGGCCAACGTGAGTACAAGGCATAACGCGCGACGCGCGCACACAAACGCACGTACACACACACATACACACATACATACGCACGAATGCATGATCACACTCCATATAGCTTTGTGTGCGGATTGATCAACAGAGCTATAGAGGCAATGACCTCCATTCCCAGAATAATATCGCGTTAATGAGACTACTGTGGTGACGGGGGTGTTTTGCCGTCTCCGATTTCGGATTCCGTTCTGATGTCCCGCCCCTAATCTGTTTGTAATTTTTGACACAATTAAAAAAAAAAAAAATTGCAGCCATAAATTAATAATTTTGAAGATCTACTATTTTTCCGTYTGTCGACGGAGACGATCTTCGGCTACTTTACGTCGTTCCGCTGCATCTTATGCTACAAAAATAACATTTTTTATGGAATTATGTTAAAACCTTATCCATCCACCTTCTCCAGCCACACTAGTATTGTCAAACGATGAATTGTTAAGACTTGCCTAATCATTGATAATAATCGATTAAAATATAAAAATTAAACTAAATGTTTTTCTTAGTAACTATTACCCTTGTCAGACAGAAGACAAGAGAAGTTATTTTTCACTTTATCATTTTTTTTCATTGCAATTAAATTATATATTTATTTTATTACATTGGTATTTTCGTATATTATTATTTAGGGAATTGAAAGCGGTGATTTTCTATCTGTCTAACACGTGCGTAACATATGTACCTATTTAACATGTTCTATTTCCAACATATCAATTGATTAAGTAAAGCCAAGAGTAAAGCATAAAAATTCTGAAAATAGATTGGAATTTTTTCCCTAATACTTATGAACACATATATTTTTTTATTTTATTTTGAATTAGGTACCTATCATACCTACTTATATTTTTGTAAAAGTTGAAATACAAAAATAAAAAATGCGAGAGAATAGATGTCCCTTTTGGATAATCCATGTACCTACCTTATTTTCTAATGATTTCAAAAATGTAATCTTTTCTTTTAAAATTTAAATGATTGACTAATTATGATAATTTATTTAATACCTATTAGATAAATATCGAGGTAAATATGTAAACAAATCACTTTTAACAAGTTTTAATTATATTTGTTTCAAGTATGTATTGAACATTGTGTTTATATTAAAGTGAGAAAACAGAAACGTTACATGGAGGCAAATTGTAATTTTGTTACCAAATATTTATCATAAATTCATAAACTAGTAAAATAAATATCATATTTAATTTGATAATAGGTAGGTAGCTATATTATTTGCTCATCATAAGTAGCAGGTTCTGGCATTACATTTTTGAGGAGKCAACAATTTTGTACCTTTTATACATATTAGTAMAGTTATAACAATTGTGACCGTTGTATTTCATGTATTTTTCGTTATATTAATTTGTATATGGATGTAAATTATATGTCGTAAACAAGGAATTCACAGAAATTTTAAAAACAATAAAACTCAATTTCCACCATTACACTAATATTATTTCATTTTTTTTTTTTATATATATATAATTTGAATACCTACATGGCCATCATTTTTTGCTATTTTATAATATTATTTCATTTTTTTTTTTATACATGTATTTATTTTTAATTTGTATATGTGTCCATCATTCTTTACTATTTTATTTGTGGATTTTTTCACTTTTACATTTAATATTTAATATTATATAATATCATTTTACCATTTTTGATCGTGTTTGGTGACAATACTAATATTATTTCTTTTTTTTATATATATTACATAATTTGAATATGTGGCCATAATTTTTAATTATTTTATTTTTATATTTATAATTTTTACATTTACGCCAAATCTGGCTGTAGCACCTCTGGCGTGTGCCGTGAAAAATATATGACAAATGATTTCAATATTTTCTTTTTCTTTATATATAAATACAGTTCAAATGTGACCATCCCAACAATAACTACAGATTAAAAAAAAATTTTTAAGATCGCATGTATGACATTCTCTTAATAAAAATAAAAATAAGGTAGTTTTAGATAACAGGAAAATACCGCATTACTTATTAAGTAGGTCTTAATATTCAATCTATGAATATTTTGTCAAGTACAAAAAAAAAACAGCTACACCGCTTACCTTTATTTTAAAACAATGATACAATTTTATGACGTTGGATTACAACTTATGAATTTTGAGGGGCTATGCTTCACCACCTCATTTTAATTAACATCCATATTAATTACAAGTATAGGTATAACTTATAATTTCCCATGTTTTTAAAAATTAATCTGGAGTCTCTAAACATTTTTAACAGATATTCCAAATAGAAGAAAAATATTAATTTCATGTCACGGGGTGGAGTATAATCAAAAATTACTTTTATTCACTGTTAATATGACACTAATTGGATCTAGCTAGTAGCAAAAAGCTAGGATCGGATGGGAACGATATATCACCAAGTACCTACAACCTCCTGGCTACTACTTATATTCCATCCTTAAACCAAACATGCAATTTTGCATATAAGAATTTATTTTTATTTTTTTAATTCTTAATCTAAATAGGTAGGTTATTTTGGTAGGTATATAGTTTAAATCGGTTTTCTTCTATAAATTATTATATAAAGTAAATAGCTAATTGGTAATTTATATTTTAATWATCTATTAATTATAATTTTCTGAACAAATGTTTTTAGCCCCTGCACCAGCAGTCGTTGCCCCAGTACCAGTTGGTGTACCTGGAGCAATGGGTGTTCTTCAACCTCAGGCTCCTGCATTGCAACCACAATTAGTTGATGTACCAGGTAAAATTTAATTTTAATTATTATTATTTTTTCTTTTTAGTTTTTAATATCATAGTTGTTTTTTTTATTTATAAACTGTTTGTCTTTAAAATTATTTGTTAATAGTATTCAACTGTCCACGCCGACCAAATTTGGGACGAGAAGGCCGTCCAATTGTGCTTCGTGCTAATCATTTTCAAATATCCATGCCTCGTGGTTATGTACATCATTATGACATCAATATTCAACCAGATAAATGTCCTCGAAAAGTCAATCGTGAAATTATTGAAACCATGGTTCATGCGTACAGTAAACTTTTTGGTAATCTTCGACCTGTATTTGATGGTCGCAACAACTTATATACAAGAGATCCACTACCTATTGGAAATGATCGAATGGAATTAGAAGTATATTTTATATTTTAAATTATGTTATAATAACATAACATTTTATTAATATTTATTTCAGGTTACATTACCCGGTGAAGGTAAAGATAGAGTATTCCGTGTCAATATTAAATGGTTAGCTCAAGTATCGTTATTTGCTTTGGAAGAAGCATTAGAAGGCCGCACAAGACAAATACCATATGATGCTATTTTGGTAAGTTCTTCACTTATATTACTTACTTCTAATCAATAACTACCTAATAATTGATTTTTTTTTTTTTATCTTAATTTATCAATTTTTTTTATGTAGGCATTAGATGTAGTCATGCGGCATCTTCCTTCTATGACTTACACACCAGTGGGAAGGTCATTTTTTTCTTCCCCGGAAGGATATTATCATCCATTAGGTGGTGGTAGAGAAGTTTGGTTTGGTTTTCACCAGTCAGTCCGGCCTTCTCAGTGGAAAATGATGCTTAATATTGATGGTAATTTATTATAATAGAATAAGCCTATCTTCATTGACATATTTCTTCTTTTAGTATCAGCAACAGCTTTTTACAAAGCACAACCCGTGATAGAATTCATGTGTGAAGTGTTAGATATTAGAGATATTGGTGAACAACGAAAACCATTAACAGATTCTCAAAGAGTTAAGTTTACAAAAGAAATTAAAGGACTTAAAATAGAAATTACACATTGTGGAGCAATGCGTAGAAAGTATAGAGTTTGTAATGTTACAAGAAGACCAGCTCAAATGCAATCGTAAGCAATTCATTTTAAAACTCATTTATACTGTCATACATATTTTGATTCAATTTTTAGTTTTCCATTGCAATTGGAAAATGGTCAAACAGTAGAATGCACAGTAGCTAAATATTTCTTAGACAAATATAAGATGAAACTACGTTATCCACATTTACCATGTCTTCAAGTTGGACAAGAACATAAACATACATATCTTCCTTTGGAGGTTTGTTTATTTAGATGATTAATATATTTTGAATACATCATATTAGTATTAAATTGCCTTTAACTAATAATTCAGCTACCAATTTGAATTTACTGATCTGCTTTACTATTTTTATTTTTAAACTATATAGTTTTATGCATACAGTGGGTTAATTGCATTGATATTAAAGAATGGATTGGCCATTTGTGCTTATTATATGGGAACAAACATGAAAAAAGGCCTTAACACAAATATATATATTACCTATATATATATATAATTATTTTACATGATTTATGATAAAAGAAAAAAC